CACGTGACGTCGCCTCCGCGCCGCGCTCACCACCGTCACCAATATGGCTGCCGCCTGCCATTCCGCTACACCACACCACACCACACCACACCGCAGTTTGAAACGGGTTTTATCGTGTTTGCGATGGATGTTGACGATTTAGAGAGACAACATTTTCTGAAAACACTGGCTGTTTTTAAGCTTTATCGGTTTGTGCTACTTTTTTCTATTACTGTCTAAATACAGGTCATATGCATTGAAGAAAGTGAAGCACCAAATGGATATTTACGAGAAGCTGTCGTCAAACCACAAGGCGCTTATTCCAGACTTTCTTAAGCATATGGATGCTATAAAAGCGTGTGTCGAGGCTAACGCTTTTTTTATCTCTAAAATTCTAGGGAAGGCAAAGCCCGAAATTTTTGAAGGAGAACACGTGAGTTATTCGTTGCCTCTCACTCTTTCAGTTTCTCTCAGACCATGGCGATGACATAAGCTGTGTCGTTGACAAAGAAACAAGTCCGACTCAACCAAAGCTTGGAATAACCAACGCAGATTTGGACAAAGTGCACTCCGTCCTAAGGCAGTTCGTCCGTGATTGGTCTAGTCTCGGCGCTGCTGAAAGAGAAGAATCGTACGAACCGGTTTTGAACGAAATTAAAGAATTGTATTGGTCTTCAGATAGGTAAATTTATTCTTTGATTTTGGTCTTTTTATAATTGGGGACACCTTTTAAGTAAACCTTACTCTTAATGCACTGTTCTTTAAGTTTACGATTATGTGTAACGTAGATAAATTGCTGTAGCATTTGTCCTTCGTCCGTCGAATTAACTATTTGCTTACTAATAAAACTAAACGAGTGCGCTGCTGTTTTAAGCTTAAGCGTGCTTTCATGCGAACTGTTTTGGTCAGTCGCATCTTGTTGATAAGGTCTGAAGTTGATGAAACGCCCTTTCTCAATCTCCTTTCGTAGGAATCTCTCAGAAATCCGAATACTCGTTCCAGGGGCGGGTCTTGGTAGGCTTGCATGGGAACTGGCCAGTTCTGGTTTTTCGTGTCAAGGCAACGAATGGAGCCTCTACATGCTTCTTCCCGCTTACTTCATTCTCAATACGTAAGCAGTTCACTTTAAGTCCCATATTATAACGCATTCTGCTAGCAAAGACTGTAACCCTACTTACTGGATGTTATATAGTGGTTGCAGTGGTCAGTATCGCACTCGACTGAAATCGAGTCGGACATTTCTTAAAGTGTGGTGATTATTCGCGGTGTTTACTGCCTAGGTGTAAAAAAGCTAACGAGTACACCCTCCACCCCTGGGTTACCCAATTCTGCAACAACCTTAGCCGCGAAAACCAGATGGCCGCTGTCACCGTGCCCGATGTTATCCCAACCGACATTCCGTCGGGTGTCCAGTTTTCAATGGTTGCTGGCGACTTCCTCGAAGTGTACACCGAGCCCGGTAGGCCCCCTAACGCGGTGTGGCATTCCACTCAGTCCCCCGCAGGCATACATGATACTTGTTTTTCTTCTTTTAAACAGACTCATTCGATTGCGTTGCAACCGTCTATTTCATCGACACCGCACACAACATCTTGGAGTATCTGGATGCCATTTGGAAGATCCTTGTTCCAGGTGGCTACTGGATAAACTTCGGTACGTCGTTATTGTTGATGTTTTTGTTAAATTTTCCTCAGGAATTGTTGCTACCGCCAGCACGCGTGGTTGACATTCTCTGGAAGGTTAGTTTTCGTTAAACATAACCTGGAGTTCATTGGTTTCAGGTTTCAGACTTATCGTAGGTAGCATGACGCGAGTTACAATTTGGTCGAAATTGCCACTTGTTTTTTAGGTCCTCTCCTCTACCACTTCGCGGACATGCCGGGTCAGGACTCAATCGAACTGAGTTACGAGGAATTGAGGAACACCTTCCAACTCATGGGATTCGAGTTCGTGGTATGTGATTAGTGCCTGTTTCCGCTTGTCCGCGACACCTCCTTAGCCCACTTCTTCGCTTTTGTTGTAGAGGGAGAAGATGAATATGACGTCGACTTTCACGCAGGACCCAAACTCCATGCTTCGCTACCAATATAAGTGCGTCATGACGGTCCTGCGGAAACCTCTTAATCCTCAGAAATAACTTATTTGATAAAGGCATCGTATTTTTTCTAACGCGTGTATAAATGAGTTTGCTGTACTGTTGTTTTGCTCGCCAATCATTGGCTGACTTGTTGATTAAGCCTGGTCATCTACGGGCACAATGTCAGTTAAAAGGCTCGAGTCCAAGTCGGTTATGACCCCAGTTCTGGAAGGGAAAGTTCGAGGAGACATTAAGGGTTTCACTACAAAGTCAGTGAGTTCCGTGAATGACGTCAGTTCTGCAATAAGTACACATTTTAGGTCCGTGTTCATCCTGTTTTATCAAACATCCACGTCAAATTTGATATCTCGATATCTTTAGCATTCGCTGCAGTTCAGGGAAAGTAACTGTGCTACCTAACATGTTGCAAATTTTTGCTTAATCAAGCATTTCCGCATTTCCTTCAAAAACACGATCTATTCCGGCTGGTGCGACAGAACTTTGCTGCTTATTTAAATCATTTAGGCCAATAGTGTAAATGATATAATTCAATTATAAAAATGGTAGCGATGCCAAAAGTTTACCACTAGTTGCACATTAGTTCCCTTAATTAGACAAGAGTGACTTTCATGTACATTGGACTTCTAAGATTTCTTGTGACTAACCGCATACATCCCTGTCATATCTATTTACTCTGATTAAATACATACTAAATTGGCCCAAATTTGGTCAAAATTGAGATTATTTGGAAAGTCGTACATCCATGGGAAAACAGTGCAACAAAATGTTAGCATTTAGAAACTGACTGAAGGTACCATGAAACATTTCCGTAAACTGAATTTAGAATACCAAATTAATGTAAGTCGGGATAATAAAAGAAAAGAATTGGCATAACAGAGGGAAAATAGGGTGAAAATTCGCAGCATGTGGGGTGTTTTTTAAATTTGTGCATAATGCGGCAATAAAATGGGTACTTGCGCCAATGAAAATCGATGGCAACGGTAAACATTGAAGACATAAAATTGTGAATTGAAAAAAGTGTCGAATTTCGGTTACAGGAATAGATGAATTAACTTTTACTATCATAACTTGTAGGTCAACAAATTCGAGCACATAAAATTATCAAGTGAAAGCAATAACTGACCAAGAGCAAACCCGTGAGTAGGGTATCTGAGATTCGCACAGTTCACTATATTGAGTTTTCATCTAGTTACCCAGGAGCATTGTTTTCCACGCATCAGGCATCTAATAACTATTCGAAGCATTAAAAAATGTAAAGTATTTGTATTTTTTCGTCATGGCAACGACTGTTTCGGCTTCACGCCAAAAAAATAATAATATGCGAAAAAATGCGTTAAATAATTACATATAAATTAACTTAAGCACAGGAAAAATCTATTTTATAGGGTACTTTAAATTAACTAATACTTAGCAAATTTTATTTTTTGACAGAATTTTGATTTGTTTAAAGGTGCATTATTGAGTTGTCACTACATTCAAAGTTGCTTTAGTCCTTCCGCAATGTCTGGTCTCAAGCGGGTTTTCGGAATTTCCAAGAAAGAGGTAACCCAGGACACGGCTCTGGAAGCTCTTAATGCAGCCGAAGAGCAGCTTAACAAAAAGCAACTGTTTTTGGAAAAGAAAATAGAACAGGAAATCGCAAAAGCCAAGAATTTCGGACTCAAAAACAAACGCGGTAATCGGCCATTTGTTTGCTTTTATTTGTTTAGCCGCACTTGATTGCCTTAGAAAGAAAAACATGTACGAGAAACAGTTAACATTGAATGATGGTGCCCTCATGAAACTTCAGGCCCAACGCGATGCACTCACAAGTGCTCTGATGAACAAAAACATTCTGGATACAATGAAAACTGCTAATTCAGCAATGCACCATATCCACAAGGGCATGTAAGTACCATTTTCGGTCTTTCAATTTGATAGGGACGTTGACAAAGTCCACGATTTGATGGATGATGTCAATGAGCAGCATGAGATCGCCAATGAAATTGCCAATGCTATTTCGATGCCTACAGGATTTGACCAGTTCGACGAAGATGAGTTGCTGCAAGAACTTGAGAGGTTAACAGTAAGTTAATTTTTCTCCTATAGTTTTATTGTGCTCTAAACGCAATTATCTATTATCAGCATTTGTTGACATGCGTTTTTTGTTTATAGGACGAAGATGTTGCTGAAAAGCTCCTCGACGTTTCCGGAGTGGACAGTCTGCCCTCGATACCCACTAATGAGCCCGTGGCTTCAAAATCCAAGCGTCAGTTTTCCTCGTTTACTGATTTTATAATATCTTTCGTTTATTCTCAATATCATCTTACTAAAAACCATAGGTCTTCATGTCAACGAATTTTTTTGTCTAGAAAATAACAAACGTCAATTTTATCGTTGCACCTCCCTTTGTGTGTACCTTGCCTGTCAGTTAATTGACTCTTGTCACCGAATGGTCAGATTTTCATGTCTTTGTGTTCGGTGTGCTTCAATAATTTATCTAAATACGGTTCTATTATGCCTGTTGTACTAATTGAATGTGACCTTGTGAATCAAGTCTGGGTAGATTTATGCGCAATCGTTTTTAACTGCTTATTTCTTCGTGCGACCTTCCATAAGCTAAATTTAGTGTAGGCATCGTCGGTTTTTTTGCACGAGATGGTTTTACCAGAACTTGGGGAGCATTTTTCATGAACCAACTTTTACCACTTCCCTGATCATAAACCTACCCACGTTAAAACTACCTGCTAGCGTCGAACACGGCAACACAGCCTCACTGCAAGCACTTCTCACATTGGAAATTTTTTTGGTGTTACAGCTTCGAAGCGAGCTGAAGAGGATGCGGAATTGAAGAATCTTGAGATGTGGTCAGTGTGAGGAGACCTCAACGCCAGCCACCCTTCTCCAAAAGATAGTTTTGCGTCCAACCCTCATCCTCCTTCTCCCGCTGGAACAGCAGGGCATCTCTGACTGTTCCACTTATCGCCTTCCCATGTGTCTATGTGTATACATTTCGAGCCAGCGACATTATTTTGTCTTCATTTCCTTTAATTTCCTCTCCACAAGTAGCCTCTCGCGGTCCCGGCATTCCGCGCCTTTTCCGCCCATTACTGCCAACATTTTCAGTACTGCAAAACACGACTATTTTGTACGCCCTTACGTTTTGTGCTTTCTCCTCTTCGCTCAGATTGCTCTTTGTGCGCCAGCGAGTCTGTTCGCATGATGATTTTATGATATGCCTAGGTGAATCAGAGCCCTCTTCGATGGGCAGGCGTTTAGTGTTGTACCTCGGTGTGTTTTCTACCCGCTATCCGCCGCCTGCTTTTGATTCTCGTCAGTTTTCCCTCGTTTCTGACAGGATCGCTAGGCGTTCTTTTGTAGCTTCATCTCGAGGCACGTCTTGTGTGTGGGTGTCCATTGTTTTTCGTCGAAGTTGGTCAGCTGATAATGGTAACGAGGCGAGATATTCATTCCTTAGCGCGTATGCAGTCTCGCCGAAGCTTTCTCGTGGTGAGCCATGTCCGGATGTGTTTCGATGTGTAGCCCCTGGCACGGCACATCGCACAAAAGGCTTTTTTATCCCAAGTGAATCCTTCGTGTTTGGTGCTGAGGTGCGTGTCAATCCTACATGGGACTGTCAGTGCGTTCTGACTGCCAGTTTGTTTAAATTCTATTTGTATTAGGGTTATGTGAATCCTTTTGATTGTACACGAGTGGGGCTCTCTTCCTAACGTCTTTTCTTTCATGCCATGCAATCGGTAGCGCTGTTATTTTGAGATGAAGAGATGAGCGACCGCCATAACTTCCGCCATATTCTGGCAACTATCGTCTTGTCATGCAGTTGCTGATCCACTTGATTTCCAGATCACTGGTGGATTATGTGGGCGTTTGATCGTGACACCCCCGCATACTTGAGGTGGTTGGAGTCAAATTGCTACAACCCGTGTTCCATATGTGCTGAATTACTCTCTTTTAAATTAGGCCAATAATTAGTGGAGTCTCAAAAAACCACAGAGCCGCACGCGGGTGATGCACACAATCGATTCTTTCTAAATTGGCGAAGATTAAGTCAGCAGAACCGATCCCAACCTCAATGGGTGATTCCCCTTACAACTTAAAATGAACTAGTGGGCCCTTGAACTCCCTGTAGAAAACAGCATAGTATCCTTTCGATTTTATTGATCGGGAGCACCACTGTGGGCCCTTGACGTTCGCACTCTTGCGTTGAAGTGTGTCTTGTCAAACTTTGCCTTTGTGCACATACGTTTGCCTCCCACACACACCTCACAGGCCTTTTTACAGAATTCTGATTCACTAATTTTTCCTCGTTATCAACTCCTTCCGTTCGCGAGGTGACAATTTACTCCAAACCATCATTTTCTCTGGCATTCGACTGCTCACCTGGGGGGCATTATTGTTGTCTCCTGACTGTTAGGTTTATGCTAAAAAGATCAACTAATTGAGCCAATAACAACACGAGGAGTTAACAGCGTTCCTACCCTCTTTTACACGGCTGTTTTTTTTAAAGTTTGTAAACCTAACAAATACAAGCATAGTGCCTTTTTCTGCTGATCTGTCTCGGTGCTCATAAGTTTGCGTAATTGTTGTAAGTAGGCAAGGAATTAAATCCTGGCAGGATGAGTGTGTCGGCAGTTGACAATTAACTCAGCGAGTCAGCCCCTTTAAGACCTCTTGCGTCAGCGTCGTGTGGCGGAATGTCATCTTTCTTTTTTCAGCAAAAATGCACGCCACCCACTCACGCACTCGCGTCTAAATATGGTTTTGTAAAATGTGCCCTTCTGCTCCGTGATCTCATAAATATTGGAGTTGGTGATGCGCCTGCACGTGCTGTCAATCGATTTCCAGGGCTGTTTGCCCGCTTAGATGAACGAAGCTCAGATTTGGGATTATCGATTTTTGTGAGGCTGAAACAAGCAGGTGTATCTACTGTCACTCACTTTTGCTTCGTTTGAGGACTTAACAGACAGTGCAATTTTTTTGGCAATTTCCGCAAATCTTCTTCCGAATCTATCCTAATCTTCAATATCGTCTGTTGTGCCTGATTGGTAGTAGCGTAGCTAGATACATTGATTTTTCACTTGTGACGCGGGAGATGATTTACTTCTGGATCGATGAAGTTTCGCTTAGTTGTCGTCGTCGTCGACCCTAAATTGTAGAATTCAATTCCTAGCCAAAAGTTGGATCACATGCAATATCAGAAGCCACAAACGGTTTTTCGGCCTTCCTTCACTCAATTTTTTTCGACCTTACCTGCTTACGGGGTTTGCAGCGTGTCTACTGTAACCTCAAAGCACAAAATCTCCCTCGAATCGTTTAGACCCTGCAAGTTACCAACCCTCTCGTCTCTGCGCTACCATCTTAATCTACGTTGTATCGCGAATTAGCTTGATCCGGCGAATGTAAGCATGCACACACTTGTACCCGTTTTCGATACTGCCCGTCTCACACCAAGACAGAATGTGCTCTAACGACTTAAATAGAAATGGCTTGTTTACACAACACTTGTGGTCACTTGTCACACGATCGTGGCCAATCAGCGGTCTATTTGACGTTCGCGGTGTGCGATGTGGTATTAAGACATAAATTTCGGTTATGTAGTTCAAACCAAGTGTCAAAATGTATGGTGCAAAATGGTCGTCATTAATTGCAGTTTCTTCACTCTGTTGGGTGACCCTTTGTCAACTGTCCAAGAACTTCGTGAATGCGCGTGACCGGTAATTTGATAATGCTAGGTCAGAGGTATGTGGACCAATGATTTTCGACTTCAACGTCGTCAGCAGTGATGATGCGTTCCAATGAATTTTACTGCAAATGAACCACTTTCCGCCTCGCGTGTTGATTCGTCTTAATAGCGGAGGCGTTTGTGATGAAAATAGCGAATAATATGTGTGTGTGTGTTACGTGCAGCCCCTTCCAAAATCGCTTGCACCGTCATTTGATCACGATCCGGTACGACGCTTGTCAATTTTGAGCGCATTATCTCTAAAATTAGTTATAATAAACCTCTTCTGACATTGACGTTCTGTTTTTATCAATGAGGACGTCAAACATCCCTTATTTCTGTATGTACTTCAGCTGTTTTCTTGCCAAAACAGAAATAGACAAGTTAAATCTGTCTTAAATGTTCGTTTTTGAAGCAAAATCTGCACCCTATTCGAGTCTGGGAAATGTTGTTTGAGGATCTGAGCGCTTTTGTGTGATGTTTCAATGATCATGAGGGACAGTGCGTGTCATAAAACTTACCCTCGAGATTTCTTTCAACTGTCACAATCAGTCGTTTTTGTTTAACATTTCACACATGGGCACTGCTTTCGCACACCTGTATCCAATTCAACCTACCTGAAATTGTCAAAATTAAATCTTTAGCAAAGGATGTCAATTACGTTTGCGTCAGCTTATTGTTATTGGTTTTGTTTGTTAGGCCATGGAACACATGGTTTCGGAGACATCAGATGCGTCCGTTCTGTTGGTGGAAGCCTTCCATGGCGGCTCTCACAAGCAGCTGGTTTCAACCATCGAATGTTTGCTGACCAGACGAGGTACGCAGTATCAAAATGTGTTTGCGTGTGTGCGTGTCTGCGCGAATTAGTTAAAATTAACTTTCAATTTTAACCCCATGTGCCACGTTGCCCATCCTTTAACTGGTGTATGTTCGGTTCAAGGTAAATGTGCTTTCGCGACCAATCCGAAATCACTGCTAACTGTAAGCAATTCTCGAGATCTGATTGGTGTATTCGTCAGTGGTTAGCCTAAATTAGTGCGCGCGACGTTGCGTGCGCCCTCGATGATGGGTGAGGCCAAGTTGATCACTTAATGCGCGCATCATCGAGGCTTGTGGGAACCACAAGTGATTCTATTCTACTTCCTCTATAATTTTACCATGTTTAATTGTGATGGAATTGGCTGCTTCTCTGACCTATTCAACCATCTAACCCCCGATCAATGGCATGCTCGCCATCGCTGGCGAATGATATCCAATATTACTGTTGCTAATACACTTAGCAGCGTGGTTATTGGTGTTTCCTACTGCCTACACCACAACATTTACCTTGTGGAGCCCCTCGCAATTCGCTCTTTTGCGGCTCATGCGATCCCACAATTCGTTCCTCTCTGTTGCATTTCGTAATTTCGCAGATCCAGTAAACATTGCATCTTTTCTAAAGTAGATAACCATGTCGCATGCTTTTGGCGTATTTAAAAACTCGCTTCTATTTCTGCCTGTGGACGGTTTCAGATCTCTGGAGTTGCGTTCTATCAGTGTTCGATCTGCTATTTTTTTTGCTCTTCGAAACGCGATATCTTCACGCTGATTGGGTCAAATGATCTTCGTCAGCAACCTCACTCTCGGTTCTATTCTTTTAGCCTGTTTTAGAGAGCTTAATATAATGGCTTTTCTCTTGATCTCAGTGAAACGTAATCTCACATAACCGCTCATCTTTCTGCTACAAAATGTGCCAAGTAGCGGAGGAAAAAGCGCCCATTTAAGCAATGAATTTAAACAAACAGGAATTTTCATGCGCGGTCACGGTCACACTCACGGGTACTGTATCAATCATTTGACAATGGGAGACAATACATTTAGCCCTCAAAATCGAGATTTTATCCTGTGAGAGAACTTGAGCCTCTAAGTTCACATTCTGCCAATCGTTCAACTGCTCTATTAACAAATTTCGTATGTCGGTTTATACCTCGGGGAATCGCAACTTTTGTGCCACTCCTGTGCAGAAGTGATTTCATGATACCACAGCACATTTTTCCACGAAAAAAAGCTGATTCATTGACATCCAGACCGTTAGGAGGAATTGGCATGAGTCTGATTACAGACGTCCCCACGTTACCAATCATCTTGTCAAACG